TTGTGTCCATGTTTGACATTGATAGCTAAAGAAACCATGCCCATGTTTGGCATTGATAGTTTTTGAGATCATGTCTGTGTTTGACATTGATAGTTTTTGAGATCATGTCTGTGTTTGACATTGATAGCTCAAGAGATCATGTCCACATTTGGCATTGATAGTTTTTGAGATCATGTCTGTGTTTGACATTGATAGCTCAAGAGATCATGTCCACATTTGGCATTGATAGTTTATGAGATCCTGTCCGTGTTTTACATTAATCGCTCAAGAGATCATGTCCACATTTGGCATTGATAGTTTATGAGATCCTGTCCGTGTTTGACATTGATAGTTCAAGAGATCATGTCCACATTTGGCATTGATAGTTTATGAGATCCTGTCCGTGTTTGACATTGATCGCTCAAGAGATCATGTCCACATTTGGCATTGATAGTTTATGAGATCCTTGATTGATTGTTAGCTCAAGAGATTGTGCTCATGTTTGGCATTGAGGTTTTTTTGCAGAAATTATGAAAAGATTCTCACAACAAAAGTATGATGAAAGCCAGGGACAGGAATACCTAGACAGGAAACAGGAAAAGGAGGAGGATACTGGAAGATCTCATGCTAACAGGATGAAGTAATGCTAGAAACAGCATTGATAGCTCAAGAGATGGTACCCGTGTTTGGCATTGATTATTTATGAGATCTTGTCCATTTTTGACATTGATAGCTCAAGAGATTGTGCCCATGTTTGTTATTGATTATTTATGAGATCTTGTCCGTGTTTGACATAAATAGCTCAAGAGATCGTGCCCATGTTTGGCATTGATTATTTTCGAGATCTTGTCCGTGTTTGACATAAATAGCTCAAGAGATTGTGCCCATGTTTGGCATTGATTATTTACGAGATCTTGTCCGTGTTTGACATAAATAGCTCAAGAGATCGTGCCCATGTTTGGCATTGATTACTTACAAGATCTTGTCCATGTTTGACATTGATAGCTCAAGAGATCGTGCCCATGTTTGGCATTGATTATTTACGAGATCTTGTCCGTGTTTGACATAAATAGCTCAAGATCGTGCCCATGTTTGGCATTGATTACTTACAAGATCTTGTCCATGTTTGACATTGATAGCTCAAGAGATCGTGCCCATGTTTGGCATTGATTATTTACGAGATCTTGTCTGTGTTTGACATAAATAGCTCAAGAGATCGTGCCCCTGTTTGGCATTGGTAGTTTACAAGATTGTGATCCGGGTAAGACATTGATAGCTTAAGGATCGTGCCTGTGTTTGGCATTGATAGTTTACGAGATCATGTCCATGTTTGCCCTTGATAGCTCAAGAGATCATGTCCATATTTGGCAATGATAGTTTACGAGATTGTGTCCATGTTTATCTGATTAGCTCTTAAACCTATTAGACCAACGAGAGGGATTAAGTTGTACCTGGATTGATACAGGTCTGAGAGACTCTTATGGAGACGGACATTTACTACATACGTGTCTGCAATTTGATGATAAAAACTTTCAAAATCTTTTAATTTAAAATTTTGAGCATGAAAATAATCGAAGAATTCTAATGTTTATACTTGCACAGAAAAAAAAAAGTTTAAGATTCACAAAATAAAATTACTATAGATCTGTCGACCACAAAATATCCATCCTCCTCCTCTCTAACATCCATGTTGCAGTCTACCTCCCTTATTGTAAATTGTAAAGGTCGTATATTATTCTTCTAGAATACAAGAAAATTGTGCACGTTGTTCCACTGCTGACAAACATTTTATCATGCTCATCATGAAACTAATATTTCATCTTTATTGTTCAACATTTGCAATCCTATCCCCCCCCCCCCCCCCCCCCCCCCCCCTCCCTCAATCCCATCTTTCATTTTTGTCCAATTATACAACCTGAACACAGTGTTTTTTTGCTGAACATAAGATAAAATTCTTTGACGTAATTTTTCTCAAAATAAAATTAAAAACGCCCCTTATCAAATAAATAATGTAGCACTAAACAAAATCTTTAACACCCTATTAAAAATAAAACAATTGCGCCCCTCTTCCTCCTCCAAACAATAACAGTTGCCCCCTGTACCCATCTTTACACGCAATAATCTAAAATCTGATCTTTTAAATATTTGACAGTTAATATTTTCCGGTTAGTTTTGTAGTTTTTTGCCTTGTTTTTCCCAGAAAAAAAATCCAATTTAAGGTCGAGAGAGAAATTATTATTTCTCTTAAACCATTTAATTATAAAACGTTAGTGTATAAAAACTACTAAAAAATGGACACCGATAAATGTGCGAAACATTTAATTTGTCCGATAAATGTGCGAAACATTTAATTTGTCCGATAAGCGAAACATTTAATTTGTCCAATAAATGTTCCAAACTATCCACAATGTACATGTAATTAGTTTTATGTAAACTAGACTCGTAGAAGCTTCAAGAATTTAAATTGTAAATCAATTTTTAAATATCACAATTGTGATGAAATAAAGCCAGTCATCATGTAATAAAATTCACTTAGTCCAGCAGAAATAAGAGTCTACAAACTATGAACTACCTCTTTCTAAGTATACAGAATTAAATCTAGGGGGGGGGGGGGGGGAAAAAATGGAGGAAGCAAAAATTTTTTTCCCCCTCCCCCCCCTAACTGTAAATTCAAAATATTTGGCTTCTAGACGATCAGGCATACTTTTTTTTGGGTTTTGGTATTCATTTTACGAAATTGTCTGTTACTGAAAATTTGTATCCATTCTTTTATATTGTAATTTTCCTTTTTGAAATTCTTTACTTTGCCCCCCCCCCTATGACGCTCCTAGGGGGGGGGGGGAAGGGGCAAAATTTAATATTTGAAAATATTTGAAATGACTATGTTAAAAAGTATTTTAAAGGTAGTGTCATATGCAAAGGTATCATACCTTTGCGCTGAAATTCTGAATGTTAAATCGGCGTTTTCTCAGGCCATAGTTGTCTTTTAAAAGTAGGACTGATACCAACGAATTATCCAAATAATTGAACGGTGTAGAGGAGGAAATCCCCGAAAGAGGATTATGAAATCCGCAAATCAGTAGTTTCGGATTCTGGAACTAGAAAAGACCTACTCATCTTCCTCTCCTTTAATAAACTCATTATTTATCATGTATTTTTTATCTAAAAGCAATGCATGTACTTCTAAAGTGGTGACCCAGACAGCAAATGAACTATGACTGAAAACACAGCCGGCTGGTCAGAAACAGCTCAAGAAGTGGACAAGGATGACAATCTCAGCTTTAACTCCTTAATCACAAATTCACTCTACATACCTTCATCCTGCAATCAGCTCCTCCTGGAGCTAAGCACCTTAGATTTTCCTGGAGCTAATAAGCTAAACCTGAGCTACTCCTGGAGCTAATGAGCTAAACCTCAACTACTTCTGGAGCTAATTAGCTAAACTACAATCCTTCAGAAGCTAATAAGCTAAACTTTAGCTTCTTCAGAAGCTAATCAGCCACACAGCAAGCTACTCCTGGAGCTCATTAGCTACACAGCTACTCCCAGGGCTAATCATTTAAACAGCTACCTCTGAGCTGAAACCCTGTTTTGATATGCAGGTCGGATTGTCCCCATCATTTGGGATCCATATAAAGATTGTTGATAGCTAGGCTTGTGTCCCTGTGTGACATTTCGAGCAGATCGTCCCCATCATTTGGGATCAATATATAGCTTGTTTGATAGCTAGACTTGTGTCACTGTGTGGCATTTAGAGCATCGTATTATGTAACTGGATTTTGATAGCTACGCTTGTGTCCCTGTGTGGCCTTCAGAGCCTGGGATTCAATCCTGGTTGAGCGCTGTATTAGTAGCTGGGTTTTGATAGCTATGATTGTGTTCCTGTGTGGCATTTAGAGCCTGGGATTCAGTACTGGTTGAGTTTGATAGAGGACGGATTGTACCTGGATAGATACGTTTGAGAACTTATTATGGAGTGGGTATTTACTACATGAATGCTGCAAGATCAAGAATGTTTATTTTATTAATATATTTCAGTGTAAAAGCTGCAAGATCAAGAATGTTTATTATATATATATTTCAGTGTAAAAGTTGCAAGATCTAGAATGTTTATTATATATATATATATTTCAGTGTAAATGTTGCAAGATCTAGATTGTTTACTATATATATATTTCAGTGTAAAAGTTGCAAGATCTAGAATGTTTATTATATATATATATTTTAGTGTAAATGTTGCAAGATCTAGATTGTTTATTATATATATATTTCAGTGTAAATGCTGCAAGATCAAGAATGTTTATTATATATATATATTTCAGTGTAAATGCTGCAAGATCAAGAATGTTTATTATATATATATTTCAGTGTAAATGCTGCAAGATCAAGAATGTTTATTATAT